CAATCTAGTTATTACTGGCTAAAAAAGAAAATATACTTTAATCAGAACTCAGAAGTTATATAATAACTGTACTCTGTTACACCTTTGCTTCACCATATTCCTGCAAAAAAGGAAAAAACTCTTCAAGTACCTTACAAAATCTTGACATATTTAAGATGATCATAAAAGATAAACATATTAAGATGATAAAGTCAACCTAAATCTTGATTTTATAGCCAGCTAAATGTGAATCCTCGTGAATTTGCATACAACACGACGGATTACGTAGTAACGCGCAATAACCTTCCATCGATTGATGTGCATCCGGCACGCGCGTTTATGTTTGAAGTGGCATAGAAATTAAAATACGGCATGAATTTTGTGACCAAAACATTGCCACATAGCCATGTTTTGAGCACGGGGAAGGAAATGTACCCATACTGTAGCAACTGATCAAAGGCAGTAGTACAACGTATGAACTCCTACTGTTTATTGAAAGAACCACATTAATCACAGAACATCGGCTCCAGCACTGCCAATCCCAAATCTCTAGACTATATACGGATTAGCCGGGAGATCAGTTAACAGACCAATTATAAGGTTGGTTAGACCCGCGTTAAAGGGGTACAAGGGATACTTTACCTACATCAGAGAAATATTTATCTCAGATCAGCATTTCTATACCCACTTAATTAACCGAGATATCTGCATGGCGCTTCGGTGCACAAAAACATACAGGGTATCCCAAAACGCTGAAATTTTGATCAGTAGGGAGGTTCATATTTTCAAAATGTTAATGAATAATTGTCGGAGTGTGCTGATCGGTTGCTTCTTGGGTTCAACAAAACAATTTCAAGTTCTTACTCGACCATCTTGTCTGATCGATAGTGTCTTGTCTGATCAATAGTGTCTTGTCTGATCAATAGTGTCTTGTCTGATCGATAGTGTTAATAACTCCACGAGCAGAGCGGTTGAGAACGTCATCCATCTTACGATGATATTGATATACGGTCTACGAGTCTGATGGAACTTGTACAATGTACTTAATATTGAGCCTACCTATTTGAGCATGAGCTTTGAGTGCGACGTGCAATATCAGGGCACTTAGTTCGATTGAAACCATTCATATTGTCACAGAGCATGTCCATTTTTTCAAATCCCCATTATATGTTAATGTTTCCATGGGGTGAAAGACCCCATTCATCGCAGTCGGATAGTTTCACTGCGTCCAGATTGCAAAACATTGCGAGATCTCACTTTTCGGGATCATTATGAGAGTAATTAGTATAGTGGACCAGGGTAGCGGTATGTTGCGATATACTCTGCTCCAATCTTGACATGGCAGAGCAAACTTGTCAAGATTTGGAGCTCATTCGAAACTACATCATAAAACGTAGGCATCACTGCATTTTAATGTGAACGACCCCTTATTACTTTATTAGTATCACTGAAATAATATTTCCGGTTTAAAAATTGGACTCATTTGAAAAATCATTCAAAACCGGGGTACGCATAATCACATGTCTTTTTAAAATTTGATATCGATTAAAAATCAATTCTCCTTGGATTAGATCGCTGATTGCTAAAACAAAAATCACACGGTATTGTCGTAAATGGGATCGGGATGAATTGTCTGAAACATATTAAATTCTCATGAGAACATTTTTAATAAAATCTAACATAAATTCTCACAAAATATGATCATGGGACCATTTTTTAATAAAATTTAACGCACATATTTTAACTTTAATAAGAAGTACGCGTAAAGCAAGTGTGAGAAATGTAAGTAAAGTAAATATGTACGGTTGAGTATAACAGCTTGAGCATGGAACTTTTTACTGCAAAGTAATAACCTAGCCACGTTACTGTTTCTTCACTGTCCGTTATTAATAACGTTCGGGTCACATAAAAACTTAAAAACCACGACCGCTTATAGATTTTATTCAATTGTCTGATGAAGTATTAAAAAAAGGGAGTTTAAGAAGTTCAATTTTGTTTTGTCTGACTTAGGGGTCGTTCAGATATTACGTAATCAGCCGAGGGGGTGGTGTGGTTTTCAGAGGATTACGCTATAGTGTAATTTTGACACAATAGCTAATATGTGTGAAACTGATTACGGTGGGGGGAGGGGTTAAAAATTGTCCAAAAAGTGATGACGTAATATCAATATGTGAACGACCTCTTATTTTAAACTTTACACTCGTATTAATGGAGGCCATGTTCATTAATCATAATGGCAAATACTGGCTTTATTTTATTTTATTTAAAAAAAAGCAAGCTTGTAGTTTCTGGATAGCCTGTAGCAGGCTGAGGCAACGCCTGATTCTAATGCTTCTACAGACCTACACAAGTGCAAGTAAGTAGGTAAATATTTCTTGCTAGGTATGTGGCACCCATTACGGTAACCATCCATTAAAGTTTTTGCTTTTCGATGTACTACATTGCACAGCTCCCCATTTAACCCTCACACACGATTTCTCGAGCATTCAGCTGGGTGAACCCGAAGGCTGCATAGATCCTACGGGATCCTTAGCAGAACGTCGACGACACTCACCCCACGACCAGGCCAGGCAGACTTGATTTATTACTTTAATAATTAATTTGTGGCTTCTTCGAAGTGCAATAGCCATCATATATCAAGCAGATTAACTGTTTGTATGGGTTGATATATTATCTTGAAGATATTATCTTAAATAAATATATTTTACAGCCTCTCGTATCTCCCAGCTAGGTGGTCCCTTTTCCCCTGCACTCTTCTTCAGCTCCAACTCCCTCATCAGTCATCTATTTTCCCACTAATCACCATGGTCCCTGCTCCTGACTCCACTATCTATTAATATGTGATGTCCTTATATGGTCATGTTACTGTGGTGAAACTTCCTTAATCCTTATATCTTTATATGGGTATCAGTAACTGTTTGCTTGGGTCAAAGATATTATCTTCAATCTCATAAAATATATTTTATAGCCTCTGATCGTATCTCCCAGGTTATAATATCCTCTTCATTCAAAATACTTACTTGATGAGGAATATTCGATTCGTTGGCCGTATCACATTATTTGATCCAAAAATGGTTCACCTTCACGATCCTGATTTGATAACATTTTGTTAGCAAATGCTTCTCAGCCTAATGTGATATATCCCACAACGATGGTATTGTACCGGCATCACCAAGATACGATCTCTGTTCATATGATAAACATTAAACACGTGATACGTCCACGTGATGTGTCCACATGATATGTCCACGTGATATGTCCACGTGATATGTCCACGTGATATGTCCACGTGATATGTCCACGTGATACGTCCACGTGATGTGTCCACATGATATGTCCACGTGATGTGTCCACATCTGCAAGTTAAATCTAGTTATCTTGCTTATAAATCTGATAGTGGTACACACCGTTATAATCCTTGTAACAGCAACAGTTCATAGCAATTGAGCTGATTAGCAGGGTAAGCAACAGTCCCCCCTGTACACGCGTGATTTCATCGCACATTAGATGTCACGTGACAAATCACATGACACTCAAACGTGACGAATCACGCAGCTCGGCACGCGAAACTGTTTACAATCAGTGATCGGTTTGATTGCTTTCGTGCTGATTAACTGCCATCTTGGAGTTACACGTGTTATTATCAGGCCTATCTTGGGAAAGCTATGGTACAGCGAACCCTAGGACCCAAGACTGCGTGGAGTTACACGTGTCCTGAGTTATACCAGCCCTGTCAGGCCCTTTCATTCTGCTTGTAGTTGCGACATACATCAAATGACAGTTCATTTTCATTACTTATTGCAGACATTGCTCCGTACAAATGCGCGTAAGGGGAATATGCCGTAATAACGAGTTGCTTTGCCGGTGCAGAATACAATTACATACCAATTGGCGATATCAGTATCACTCTTAATGCTATTCGTCATCAACTAGTTATTGAATATTCTGCTAATCCTGCTGATTAAATTGAAGGGCAACTGTCCGCAACTGCACGGCGCACGCACGCATAGTCACACGTTTATTCATATTGTAAGGTTACTTTGTCATTCGCGACGAAATATTCATATGGAAGAGTCAGAGAGGCATTTGGTTTATAACGTTTGCAATTTCATATTAACAAACTTCAAGATGTCAATTGATTTCAATCTGTGTTGCGAAATATGTAACGGTGTCCGACGGTCATAGAATATCCATTCCGTACCGGTATCCGGCTAATGCTACTAAGTACTATTGACAAACTCCCGGATTTATTTGTTCGTGTGATTAATAGTTGTGGATATATGCTGGTTTTTGTTCAAGCTCTACACCCCTTACTTGATTAGCTCTTTCTCATTTATGTTCCCCTGCCTTGAACTGATATGTCAAGTGTCAACCAAAACCAAATCAAAACACGAAATTACAGGTTTCTGCAATGAAGCGAGGAGACCCTAAATCAAGAAACAAGAATTGCGCCCGTTGTTTCGTTTTGGCGGACGCTAGATTTCCATTTCACATTTACTATAAATTTAAGTATAAGCTCCAATCAGCTCACTTCAGTCTTCATGATAATAATATTGATAAATTATGCATTAAGTACAGGAATTGAGGAAACACTTGAAATTCAGTTCAATTGCCAAAGAACTTAACTTGTAAAGCAAAGAACTTAAATTGTAAGCAAAGGTAACTATACTCGTGTACACATCAATACACTACGCGTGCCACGTACAAATTGGGCTTATAACCTAATATTATACATTACATCGTATACATTAAAACACAGTTGCGCCGCGCATTCATAGATCACAGGCTATCTATACATCACATCTCCGCAAGCAATCCTCGCGCGCGCAACTTTTTCGTTGCATGGTTACTAACGGAAGTAAGGAAGGACTGACGACATATTCAGACTCACCTACTGCAATCTCCAAAATCCACGTTTTTCTGCAAAAACGTCCATTCGTAACCTTTCACTATTGCCTTTTTTCAAAAGGGTGAAAAGGAAAAAATATATCGTTCATGTAGGTTTCCATAATTTAAGAAGAATGAACGGGTTTCAGTACACACCTCTTGAACTGCTGCTGATGAAAATAACCCTGATAGTGTTCATTGTAGTGGGAGCAGTGGGTAATCTTGGTGTTATTCTTGCTGTTGTTGGTAAGTGATTTTTGTTGTGTTTATTTGTATTTCTTTTACTTTCCATGTTGTTTTGCATGGATCAAATCATCCAATTTTATCAAATAATATTCAAAAATATAAAAAGTTTGTTTAATCATATCAATAAAAAGTTTGTTTAATCATACTAATCTTATCCAGGAATAAAAAAGTGGCGAACTCCTTCAAACGTTCTCTTAGCTAACTTAGCAACAGCTGATCTCATTGTTAACCTCTGGACCTTCCCCATTACTTTAGCCTCCATCATAAAGGGTAGTCGGGCAGTCAGCGTCAACTTTTGTCGGGTATGAGCTGGGCTTATTTAGATCCGATGAATTGAAACGGATTGAACACCATAATAATCGCATACAATTTTTCGTACTCTATTACATGTCATTGATGAATAACCATTTTTCATCATTATACTTATGGTATCATTAAACTGTATTATACGTTGGCCTGAATGCTATTTTGGAATGAGAACACTGTTCTGTTACTCCAACCATTCCGGTATACTACACTCATTACTCAACTTTTTAAAATCTTTTAAAACTTTTAAATCGGTCCAAAAAGTAATACTCACCCCAACCCTTACTATAACTTACAATTTATTAATATTAACTTCTTCAAACGGATATCGTTATCAGTTTACGTCATCTGATTGATATAGCTACATTGTAGCTGCTTCATTAACTAAGATTCAAAGCGTTTTCAACTGATTGCGTTTCAGATAAGTGGATTTATTGACAATGTGGTAATATTGGTGTCAGTATGGACCCTAGCAGCCAGCAGTGTGGTCCGATTCGTCCACATTACCCGACCAAACCAGTCCAGAACTTGCTCTTACAATACAGTTTGTAAGTAATTAAGACTTAAGTAATTAGGTAATTAGGTAATTAATAAAATGGTGAAATCCTCTGGATCAGGCAGAGGTCGAGTGTTACCGGGATTACTTCTGTAGTAGTTGTACAGCAATACTACGTTCCATTACCTTAGTTGAGTTAGTATTGCTGTACAACTACTACAGTAATAAGTAAAAACATATTTCCGTGTGCATGTTTCATATTTCAAACAGTATTAGTATTACAGAGATCACCTCTTCGATAAGCACTTCTTTGTTTCAAATTATTCCCAGCGTTTCACCACAGAACTTTCACAAAAGCCATAGATTTATTTGGATTATTTTAATAATTTACAACCCTCAGATATGAGGATAGCTAGAACTAACCGTAACAAACCTGCTATTTGGCTATATAATAATAACTTGCACGATATTTCCTTGTGTTTCAGTAAGGATAACCCTAATGATATGGACGAGCAGCTTGCTTGTAGCTGGAATGCCCATGTTAGGGTGGGACGAATACGTTTACTCTCCTGTCACTTTCTCCTGCGGTATCCACGGTCTTCCAGGCTTCCACAAGTGAGTTGCAGGTTAATTACCTACTAGGTTAATTACCTACTAGGTTAATTACCTACTAGGTTAATTACCTACTAGGTTAATTACCTACTAGGTTAATTACCTACTAGGTTAATTACCTACTAGGTTAATTACCTACTAGGTTAATTACCTACTAGGTTAATTACCTACTAGGTTAATTACCTACTAGGTTAATTACCTACTAGGTTAATTACCTACTAGGTTAATTACCTACTAGGTTAATTACCTACTAGGTTAATTACCTACTAGGTTAATTACCTACTAGGTTAATTACCTACTACCAAGACGCGGAATAAATATCTTACGAGTATCACCTGTTAACAAATGAATTACCTGGGGGACCCCGGGCTTAGTGTTCATTATAAACACTATTAGACTATTAATTATATTGGAGATATGGCGGAATGACAGGCAGAGCTCGGTCCAGTGAGAGTGTTTGTAAAACTTGAATTGTATAACTTTAACCTTACATTAACCTTACTTTCTCAAAAGAGTTTTTATCGGCAATTAATAACTGCTCGCCTATTTGCTTGATCGTTATTGCAAACTACATACCTAGCAAGAGGATTATATCCTTTTATTAATTCATTACTAGGCTAGCGTTCAGAATTGATCGAGATTTTGCAGTCGAGATATTTTCAATCATCGTAAATTTTACCAGCCAATCAGACGAATAAGTAAAATAAATGAACGCACTCCGTGGGGCTGATTAATTGAAGTCACCTAGTTCTCTAGTTGAATGACTGCCAGAACTTTGTTTATTTGTGCCGAACCCAAATAAACTATCATTTATCGAGAAGAAATCTTAAAATTGAGTAAGATTAAGAAGGTCATAGATAGTGGGGATGAAACAAACCTGAACGATTGCCTGACAATATCAATATTAATATTGATGTTTCAGCTCCAAGATTCTAACAAAATTTTGATTTTCTCCAAGACTCTAACAAAATTGTTGATGTTTTCTCTAAGATTCTAACAAAAGAACACAATATTTCCTTGTGTTTCAATAAGGATAATTTATGAACATGTTCTCAGGTACTACTTCCTCTTCTTCTGCATCATCGCATTCCCCGGTCCGTTCGTGCTTATGTCCTTTAGTTACAGTATGATATTCCTGAGGATGTGTACTGTCCAAAACAACACTCGCAAACAGACGATGAGACAGGTATGTGTTGTTATTACATAATCAAATAATCATGATTATATAATTACGTTATGTGATCAAGTTTGTTAAGACAAACAACTTAATTATATAAAGTAGAGCTAGGGTGTATATTTTCTTTATGTTTTGCCTAATTAGCCAATTATCATGGTAGCACTTCCTTTCATATCAAATTCATAAAGTACACATGCGGCTTAAAAACGCTTAAATTTGCCGCATTTCTTTATAATTATTGCGATTTTGTAGGTAATATTTAAATTCATTGAGAGTATACATAAATACATTAACAGCCGCAGTTTAATCGAAATCAGATACCTAGTAATTCTTTTCAGGTGCGGGCCTCAGTGATTCTGCTGATTATAATAATCATGTTTTCAATCTCCACATTGCCCACTTTTATTGTGGCCCTCATGTTCTGGTCTAAGATGACCCTAAGGATTCCTATCCAAGTCCCCATAGTTCTTCATTGGGTGCTCCAGAGTAATGCGAGTCTAAATCCAGTAATATATAGGTGAGATTAACGTCTCTTTATCAATGTCATAATATCCGTAGAATGGGAATGATCAAATTAAATTATCGGTTAATTTTGTAATCCAGATCAACAAGAACATATCTTTTATTTGTGTGCTGTCTTATTGCCGTTCGGTGAGAAACATCAATAAGATACTTTCTCTATAAGAAAACCCTTGTGCTTGAAATTCACCCACTCTATATCCCCAGTCTGCTGAATAGACAGTACCGTACCACGTGGGTTGAGTTCGTAGCACGGCACCAACACCTCGCTAAACAGAGACGTTCCCTGGCAACAAACCCTCTCAACATGGACCGGTCACGTGGTTATAGTCGGGGGAATCTAGCTCCTAAACCTCTACTCCGGAGACAAGCTGTACCCATACCTGCTTGTAATGAGGAGTACAGGAGACAAGCTGTACCCATACCTGCTTGTAATGAGGAGTACAGGAGACAAGCTGTACCCATACCTGCTTGTAATGAGGAGTACAGGAGACAAGCTGTACCCATACCTGCTTGTAATGAGGAGTACAGGAGACAAGCTGTACCTGCTTGTAATGAGGATAACAGGAGACAAGCTGTACCCATACCTGCTTGTAATGAGGATTACAGGAAGACGCAAGATTGAGATTGTCTAAGATACTCTGAATAAATCTGAGATTCTCTAACTTCTAAGACTGATTAATTGTGTTTTTGTGATGTATTGCGAGGATATTAATTAGATTCAACAGCTTACGATTATCTGATTATGTTATTATCAGAGATCTTAACCGCCGATTCTAAATCGTTCCACTGTTGACTACAATATCTGATCATCACGTATCTGTCACAGACCTCAGATTGAGATTGTGACCAAACAGATATTATATCTGTTATGTAACGATTGTTCATATTCGCAATAAACAATAGAATAAATGCTTGCACTGTACATCGACCAATTTTCATTACTGACCCAGTGCAGTTATAGTGATTGAATTGCAAACTGCAGACGACGCAAATTTTGTCCTTTATTTTGGAAACAAAAGCTCACGAGATGATAATTATGATGGGCTAATTTTCAGAATGAAACTTTTATCTTGGATACTTTGGATTAAATATACTTGTTTACATATTGCTGGAAAAGGTGTCGACCGAGGGACGACCCTTTAAATAGAATCGAACTAGTCTAATTTCCATTGAAAATGAAATTACAATTTTCAATGTAAATAAGACTATTAGAATATTAGGTTACTATGCGGTAAACAAATCGTCCACGGCTACGATCAAACACCGAAAACTTTAAATTTTGTGAATTTTGAGCATATTCAACAGCCTTATTGGAACAATAGTTTGAGAAACGAACTCCCGAACGAACCAGTAGGAATTTATATCCAGTAGGAATTTATACTTATAGCGAGTACGGTTTTTAAGCTAGTACGGTTTAGTGCCGGCTCTAGAGCCACTTTTTCACCATCGTTAAGTTTTAAAAACCTCATGCCCTTCAAACAATAAAACTGAAAAGTTGTAACCTTATCGGACGTTATTTGACCGGAAATTTAATGTACGCTAGGGCCTCCAGCGTTCAATTAAATTCTGTTAAAATAAAATCCGATAAGGTATACATTTTTACATTGCATGGTTATGAGCGGTTATGAGCATTGGTAACGTTTCATTGCCTAAACTCTAGTCAATTTTACGACCTCAACTTGTCATAGTTTTTAGCTGTTTTACAATTCTACCATTAATTTTTCGGCAATTCAAATCTGTAATATATAAGCCATAGTATTTTTTGGATGAACTATTCAGCTAAAGTTAAACTGATATTTTTAATATTTGGGATCATTTTGCCGATAGAGGTACAAGTATTTATGTTATAAATTACATTATCCTTGATCAAGCTCTATATCTAATGCGTCAAATTTGATTTATATCTGCTGTGTATGATACAAATAGAAGTTTCACTAATTATTGAACGACACAGTCAGAGAACTATTTATGGAACTATACATAATGAAATTACTTATGATAAACTCAAAATACTAAAGCAGCTCATCGTTTATTTACCAAATATCATCCAAAATGACAATACAACAAATTTCAAAAAACATCCAAATCCAAAGTGTACAGAAATACACTTAAACTATAATATCATGTCATCAGCCATATGCTAAATTTATCATCTACTCCGATCTAATCATCGCTGGACAAGACTTCTATAGAATGTTTATTTGTGTGTCTGACATGATGAGATCATGAATTCTACTTCCTTAGATTGGATTATCCGAGTTCATTAGTGATCCTCTACTCGCGGTGCAGACCCTTTGTTTTCTCCTATCTGTAGATTTGAAAGTTGATATGTTGATTGTTGAAATGCTGATTATTAGAGATAACATATTTGTATAAAATCATGGTTTTAATTTATTGTACCAACGATAATCGTCAACTTTGTTAATCGAAGCTTTTTCGAGATTCTCGATTATGTTCCAAATTATTATGGAATAAGGGGTAGTTCACATATTACGTAATCTGCCGAGGGGGTTGGGGGGTTACCTACATCGCTTCCTGTTAATATAAAACTCAGTAACATAAACGGAATTGAGATCTGGTAATATATTATGCGTAATCCTGTATAACTATAATCCTGTTTGATCCGTACCCCGTTTTATAGATCTAGATTGTAGAGTACGCAGTACGCTATATCAATATCTACCACGTACAACACTTTATACTATCACAAACGATTAGTAACCGAACTAGAGTGCGCGTCCAACTAGAATACGTGAACGGTGAATCAAAGTGATACATTGATAATTCATAGTTTGGGTTGTTGTTGGGATCCCTACAATGGCGCAAAAGCCAAATTTAGCCAAATTAGGGCCAAACAATTGTTAAAAGACGTTTCACTTCCAAATAGTTTTGATCCTTCTTTATATCTTCCGATCAATTTATACCAAATCTTGATCACAGTTGACAGTACACTCGAGGTATCCTCATGCCTCATCGGACTTTATTTGTACGCAATTTCCGGTCAAATAACGTTCAATAAGGTAACCAAAATCCAACAATCGACATTTGTAAGCTTAGCCTTAATACTAAACTGCGTTAATTCCCATTGATAATTCTGTATTTAACAATTTTATCAACAGTTAAAGGAGACGATGGCATTCTAACATCTCAACAGGATCAATCAACTCAATATTTGTATTATATCCCACAATGAAAAGACCACCATGATCGTGAACTGTCTGAACAACTGATGGACAATGTAGTTGAAGCACTTTTCCCTACTTTCGCCTCCCTTCTCACTGTATACCTGAAACTTGACGCAGGAATCATCCTCGAGTCGGACGCTGAAACTTTCTTTTTATGGCTCAAGATCCTCCCTGCTCTGGCTACAGCCTTTGTCATAGGATTTATCCTGTTGATTGCGTTTCCGTTCGGGTAATTCGTTATTTAGCGGTCTTTCATTCAATTTTCATATACGTATAATTATCGTTAACCGTTTATCGTTAAGAATCTTGCCGCAGTTATGTTCAGTATATCAATATTTTGCTGATTTTCTTAAAACAATAAAAGGCGTCTAATCTATTCTTATGTGCCTTGATATGATTACATCCGTCGAAAACTCTTACGGTCGCCATCAGAACTCCTTTAGATATGCCATGATTGAATAATAAATTGAATCTGAAAGCGTTACAGCGATCATACTGTACATCATACTGTGTATAATATTGGCATTCTTGTTCTACAAGTATACTACAAAATGTATACATGAAAAATGGTGACTTTAACTCCATATTAATTTCTTTCTTTCTTAGGCACAAGAGTTGTGGTCGTCCTCGACAATCCTACAACGCGAAGACGCAAAACGAATTCACAGCTGATAATGGCGTAGAGTTAGACGGACCTAATGGCGAAGGAGTAGAATCTGATCCCGCAATTATTGAGCTACCACAGATGCATAATGAAGTTCATTGTCAACCACCTGAGAATCACGCGATCAGCGATAATCACTGGAACAACCAGAATCACGTAAACAACCACGATAAACTTGATGATGAAGAGATAGAAACTAATTACAAGATCAACAAAAGATTGGCTAACGGTTTTGTCATGGTCAACCCTGAATTTGACGACAGACATCACGTGGAATATCGGTCAAGTTCGGAACGATCATCGAATCTACAAACGGACGATGACGGCGTAACAATGACCATTTCAGCTGAAACTGCGAATGTTAACAATAACTACAAACCTATAATCACTGAGTCTGAAGGGCGGCAGTTATATGAATCTCTAGCTCTGAACCCATTGAATGAATCTCTGAACCATCCCCCCTCAGAGAATGAATCCCTGAACCCATTTCCAGCCTACTACGATGAGGTGCCTCAGGAAAGTATCCCTCTCGAGAGTATCCCACCACCTAAACCTCTCCGGGCTGCCAATAGCATGAAAGCACTCCCTCGGCCTCCTTCTGATTCACCCGCTAAAAACCCTTGGTACATCAAACCAGAAAGGGGACATCAAACTTTAAAACCGCGACCAAAACCACCACCGCGACCACCAAGCAATCAATTTGAAGACGAGCTGAAGCTAGCACTCCGCAGGGTGAGGACTAACTCGTCTATTTCCACTAATTACAGGGTTCCTAAAGCTGATCTTAACGGCCCTAGCCCAGGAACTAGCTCGTTAAACTTTGATAACGAGCTGAAAAAAGCGCTGACAATTAGACGAAGTTTGGTCAGCTCCAACAGACCTCAAGAAGTTTCTCAAGTAGATCTGCAACTCAGAAAAACAAAGGAATCAGTATCTGTAGCAAGTACTAGTGACGATGGTACCGTAACGGACAGTGGGGATGACCAATATTCTAAAGGTAGCAACTCGGTGGTCTCTCAACCAATTCCTCGTCGGTCAAAACCACGTCGGCCTTTGCTGGAATCCGACTCGAGACCTCTCAGTGAAACTGACGTTAAAGTGATCGCGCAGTTCTCTGAGACCATGGAGAGGTTGAAGAAAAGGATGAGCACAGAGGAAGTAGCCAAGTTGAGATCTTCAATGTCCTCCATACATAAGATAGTGGGCAACGGGAGCAGCTCCAGTGATAGCGAACGTGGGAAGAAGAGTAGCAGTGAAGCTGAGACTAAAATACAAAACACTGGTGATCTGTCTGGAATACTGGTTGAAGACACTGAAAATAAAGTTGGGATTGGAGAGGTCAAGATTAACAACGGGATTGAAGCTGAGACAGAATTAATAAACAACGGTGCTGAGATTGAAGCCGAGGTGGAAGTGGAAATCAGCGAGATTGAAGCTGATGCAAAGACAAATGACCTCACCGTCAGTGGACCTGATGTTGGAATAGTTACCAAAAGTAGCGACTCGTCCGCAGAACCAGTTGGAAAACCAAATGGAACTCTGGACATTATAATGCACGATCTTGACGATGTTATGGGCGAAATAACTTCCTATACTGATGCTAAATAGCTTCATCAAAATAATCATTTAAACAAAATAATGTTTAAATTTCGAAATTCTTACTCAATTTGTGTTTAATGCTACAACCGCTACAGTTTGTTGAAAGTTTTATGGACAGTTTCTAATTTTATGGACGAATTCATTATTTATAATTATAGTTCGTTGGTGTGAAACCACTTGTTTCGCTGATCGGCCAGCGGCCTTCAATAGAACAATGCAAGTGATACAATCAGCTAGCTCAATCTCATTTAACCTGTTATAACTGTTGATTTCCGGACGTAATAATTACTGGTCTTTTGTTGTTTGGTCCGAACTGTTTAATTTAAAACAAAATAATTGCCAAATTCAGATTTTTGCATCAGCCAATTCTGTATAAATTTAGAATTTATTTAATTCAAATGAGCAAATGGCACCGTTGTAGGTGTTCCTAGACTGTTGTAAAATCATTTTTTGGATGGAATGATTTTCATGATATTTTGTAGGAGCATGTTCATCATTCCCACTTTGTGTTCTGATTTTTTTGGTTATTGCTCAAGAATTCTTAATAAACTTAAAAATATGCCTTTTCATTTCACCTGAAAGTGTTTCTATAATTTATTGAGGCGGTAAATTAAAAGACAAAAACACGATTTTTCTTTTTTTAAATTGATGGTTCTCCCGGCAAGAATTTGTTTTTATTTGGATTTTGGAGGTTGTAGTTCTACAAGTGCTAAGTAGACGTTGAAAATGATTTCCAAAATTGCAATTTACTGCATGGAAAAATTTAAGGATATGGTTTGTTAATCTTTCTTGCCTCGTGAAAAATCTGGATTTTATTTTGAAGCAAATTATACATATTTATAGTATCAAACAAGATAGAAACGTTTTTTTCGAAACTGGAATTAATTTCTTGTATTGTTGTTATTGTAGCAAAACAGATAAGAAATCATTGATACATATCTTCGACAAAATTCAATAAAAATGTTTGCATTTTTACATGATGATAACAATTATCTATTTGAATTTAAAAAATTTGTTCATCTATGTGAAGAAGGGGATCATATAATACAATAGTCGAAGAAACATTTGTTTATTTGAGCTTCCGATCAGCAAAAAATACTTCACCCGTGAGTTATCACTTATCTTGTATTCACTTTATCAGAGGCCTCTTTTTGAATAATTATCAAAGAAAAATTGTACAGACAAAAACAAAACGATAGAGACGGTAGCTGTATTATAATTAAAACAGATCAAATGATTCCTCTAAGTTTTACTAAAGATCAGCAAATCTAAAATGATTAAAGCAATAATAAATAATAAATACATTACGAATAATTGGTCCTTATCAAGACAGCATTGGTAGTGAGTAGTCTGATCCAGTCATATCTTCAGATATATTAAAACTAGCTCTACTAGTGTCACCTCTTAAGTCTTTTAAAGTTAGTTCGACAACAGGGTTTTGGTAACGGATAATCTTCGATACAAGATAATCATATCTTTAAAATGTCAGGCTCTGAGGACTGAGAAACAGTTTGCTTTTTGAATTGTCTTGAGGGGCAGAGTGCAGACAAAAAGTCGATAATCTTTGATTGTAGCCCAAAGTCTAAGGGAAGCTTCTTTCGAAATCTTCATTTTTCAATAGTCATTCATGAAACAGGAAAATTTGAACAATGTTATGAGAGTTTGCTGAATGTGCAGAATGTAAGTGAACGATTCTAGAAGATTCTAGAAGGTTTGAATAGACATGACAGGCGCACTGATGGTGGACCTTAGCGAAGGTTTGGCCATGGACTCCTTGTACTTGATAATATCCTCCAACTTGTCCATCAGAATCCTGTTCCTCCCAAAGTAGATCAGAGGGTTCAGCGAGCTGAAACAGTGAAACATGGTTTTAAAATTCAGAATCTAAAAGTTATTCAGAAATGTATAATTTTTCTGTATGATGCTCCTGATTTTTCATGTAATCACCTTTTTTTATAAACATTTTTTAAATTTTTTATAAGACTAGCATTGTACACAGGTTACAATTCACGGTTAATTTTAAGTAAAGTTTCAATCAACTGTAACTACAGTTACAGTTAAAGTAGATCCTTGCAAGACTTTTGAAATACCCAGTGATTATAGCAAACCTGCTGAGCAGTGTGGTAATGGTGAGGTAGAGGAAGAAGTAGTGAGCGAAGGAGGGAGACACGCCCCCCACCATAGACCTGTACCCCACAGAACCTGTGTACTCCATAAACGTCTCAAATGTCAGCACCCACCATGGTAAATAGCAAACAATGTACCTGAGTTGTGATGTGATGTTTCAGGTAGAATTAATTAATTAATTGATAAATTTCAGATGGAATTGATAAATATAATAAGATTCAAAGTTCAACGATTATCTAAAGTCTAACTTTTCTGAAATTTTGACTCTGAAAATTTAGTTTTCCCTCCTAGATTATTGTGAAACTGGAATGTTGGTAACTTACAAGAGAACGAGGTAGGAGATGGTAATAGCTGCTTGTTCCTGAGGGTCCACTTTCTGGACACGTTTGTTATCTGTATCTTTCTTCCTCAGCAGGTTCCCTTAGAACATTATAAGAGTATTATATGATGTAGGGTTAACACTCATGGCACTATGATTAAAGTGAAGACAGGTTGATCTCCAAAATTTCGGCCTAAATTTACTTTCTAAATAATTCTTAAACGGTACAAAATAATTCATTTTTGTTTTCATTGGAAACAGGAAAACGATGACCCCTTATTGGCAGCAAATCCCAGGTTTTATGCATCGGCCTCTCCCACATCCTAATAAATACCAATATATTCCAATCTCTCCAACCTACCTCTCTCAGCACTCTTCTTCTCAGCCTCCTTTTCCCGTAGCCGAGAAGTCAGCCGATACACAACAGCCACAGAAGTGAGGACCATGAGGAGGCCGGGTACAATCACTACGAGGAAGACAAGGAAGAAGTACGCTGTTCCCACAGATTCGGGGTTGGAGACGTAAGGAGTCTGACGAGAGGGGTGTGAGGTTTTAACGGTATGTTGGGTGCAACGTTCGGTATCTCAATCTGTATTTAAATGAGTAGAAATAATTACAAATTATCTACAAACACGTCATGATCGCCCTGATTAAACCCATCCTACCTCGTTTTGAGCGAGCATATCATTGCAGTCTCCCCCATTGCATTCCGGCTTCGTGATATCCTCGAAGTTGTAATGGCAGGCTGCGTAGTCCATATCCAGGGTGTACCGTGCATCTGTAGGGATGTTAATGTCAGTAGTTATATATAGCAGGGTTAAATCTAATGTTAGATGAATATATTCTTTTAAATCATTTGATTATTGTGACATTAAGTGGGGTCCAGATCAAATGAGAAACTGCGTTCGTTAAAAAAATATAATACATCGTATCCGTAGAATATGACGTATTCAAATGGCAAATGCAGTACGCTCAATCGTGAATCAGCATCAGCATCAACAAATATGTATCACTGACACTTACTTTTCATGAAAGGTACAACTGTAACGAGCAAGCTTATCACGTGGCACAGTGCCAGAGAAACCTTAACTCGTATTGGAGTCACCTGAAGTTGGGAGATACGTATCAAGAACATGGATATCAGTCTGTTATCAGATTAGTCAGATATAATAACGATATTACTGGGTCTCGGAGGGTGGTAGAGAATAATAAGTATATTAGTTTTGCAAAGTTTTGTAAACATATTATAAGGGGAACAGGTCCAAAATGTAATTTGTTTTTGAGAGGTACGTGATGCGGCCAGCCAGCCATTATACTTACGATGGCCTTGTACTTGAAAGGTATGAAGATGGCAACGAATCTGTCCATAGCCCCAACAGCCAGAAAGAGCAGAATGGCCCTGGAACAGTAGTTGAAGAGGAAACCTATAGTGTTACAAGCTATCACCGTCCCTGTGTCGTTATCTGGGAGATATAGGGAATATCAATCTCTGGCTTAAATGTCATATAAATTGGTTGATATAGGGAGTATAAAAAATGAAGTCAATCCCGCAACTTGAGCATTTAATTTCTTGTTTAAGATATTTACAGTAGGGTGATTAATAATAACCCTAATTATTACCCTAATTACTAATTACCCTGCTGATAGAGAGTAGCGTGGAAGACTCTATCAGACATCAGGAGTATCAGAGTGAAGGGAGCCACGAAGAACACTATGATGTTATCACAAACACACAGATTAAGAAGGATCAGAAGGTTGTTGTTGTTCCAGAGCAGCTTCGCTTTCAGCTGACAGAACACCGCTAGTGTCAGGCTGTTCGCTGTGGTAGTTAGTGTTACAGTTAGTGTTAGTGTTACAGCTAGTGTTACAGCTACTGTTAGTGTTACAGCTAGTGTTACAGCTAGTGTCAGACTGTTTGCTGTGATAGTTAGTGTTACAGCTACTGTTAGTGTTACAGCTAGTGTTAGTGTTACAGCTAGTGTTAGTGTTACAGCTAGTGTTACAGCTAGTGTCAGACTGTTTGCTGTGATAGTTAGTGTTACAGCTACTGTTAGTGTTACAGCTAGTGTTACAGCTAGTGTCAGACTGTTTGCTGTGATAGTTAGTGTTACAGCTACTGTTAGTGTTACAGCTAGTGTCAGGCTGTTCGCTGTGGTAGTTAGTGTTACAGCTAGTGTTAGTGTTACAGCTAGTGTTACAGCTACTGTTAGTGTTACAGCTAGTGTTACAGCTAGTGTCAGGCTGTTCGCTGTGGTAGTTAGTGTTACAGCTACTGTTAGTGTTACAGCTAGTGTTACAGCTAGTGTCAGGCTGTTCGCTGTGGTAGTTAGTGTTACAGCTAGTGTTAGTGTTACAGCTAGTGTTAGTGTTACAGCTAGTGTTAGTGTTACAGCTAGTGTTACAGCTAGTGTCAGACTGTTTGCTGTGATAGTTAGTGTTACAGCTACTGTTAGTGTTACAGCTAGTGTTACAGCTAGTGTCAGACTGTTTGCTGTGATAGTTAGTGTTACAGCTACTGTTAGTGTTACAGCTAGTGTCAGGCTGTTCGCTGTGGTAGTTAGTGTTACAGCTAGTGTTAGTGTTACAGCTAGTGTTACAGCTACTGTTAGTGTTACAGCTAGTGTTACAGCTAGTGTCAGGCTGTTCGCTGTGGTAGTTAGTGTTACAGCTACTGTTAGTGTTACAGCTAGTGTCAGGCTGTTCGCTGTGGTAGTTAGTGTTACAGCTAGTGTTAGTGTTACAGCTAGTGTTACAGCTACTGTTAGTGTTACAGCTAGTGTTACAGCTAGTGTCAGGCTGTTCGCTGTGGTAGTTAGTGTTACAGTTAGTGTTAGTGTTAGTTAGTGTTACAGTTAGTGTTACAGTTAGTGTTAGTGTTAGTTAGTGTTACAGCTAGTGTTAGTGTTAGTTAGTGTTACAGCTAGTGTTAGTGTTACAGCTAGTGTTACAGTTAGTGTTACAGCTAGTGTTACAGTTAGTGTTAGTGTTAGTTAGTGTTACAGTTAGTGTTACAGCTAGTGTTAGTGTTAGTTAGTGTTACAGCTAGTGTTACAGCTACTGTTAGTGTTACAGCTAGTGTTACAGTTAGTGTTACAGTTAGTGTTACAGTTAGTGTTAATGTTAGTTAGTGTTACAGCTAGTGTTAGTGTTAGTTAGTGTTACAGCTAGTGTTAGTGTTAGTTAGTGTTACAGCTAGTGTTAGTGTTACAGTTAGTGTTACAGTTAGTGTTAGTGTTAGTTAGTGTTACAGCTAGTGTTAGTGTTAGTTAGTGTTACATGTACTTCAGACAGAACACCGCTAGTGTCAGACTGTTTGCTGTGATAGTTAGTGTTACAGCTACTGTTAGTGTTACAGCTAGTGTTACAGCTACTGTTAGTGGTACAGCTAGTGTTACAGCTAGTGTCAGACTGTTTGCTGTGATAGTTAGTGTTACAGCTACTGTTAGTGTTACAGCTAGTGTTACAGCTAGTGTCAGACTGTTTGCTGTGATAGTTAGTGTTACAGCTACTGTTAGTGTTACAGCTAGTGTCAGGCTGTTCGCTGTGGTAGTTAGTGTTACAGCTAGTGTTAGTGTTACAGCTAGTGTTACAGCTACTGTTAGTGTTACAGCTAGTGTTACAGCTAGTGTCAGGCTGTTCGCTGTGGTAGTTAGTGTTACAGCTACTGTTAGTGTTACAGCTAGTGTCAGGCTGTTCGCTGTGGTAGTTAGTGTTACAGCTAGTGTTAGTGTTACAGCTAGTGTTACAGCTACTGTTAGTGTTACAGCTAGTGTTACAGCTAGTGTCAGGCTGTTCGCTGTGGTAGTTAGTGTTACAGTTAGTGTTAGTGTTAGTTAGTGTTACAGTTAGTGTTACAGTTAGTGTTAGTGTTAGTTAGTGTTACAGCTAGTGTTAGTGTTAGTTAGTGTTACAGCTAGTGTTAGTGTTACAGCTAGTGTTACAGTTAGTGTTACAGCTAGTGTTACAGTTACTGTTAGTGTTAGTTAGTGTTACAGCTAGTGTTACAGCTAGTGTTAGTGTTAGTTAGTGTTACAGCTAGTGTTACAGCTACTGTTAGTGTTACAGCTAGTGTTACAGTTAGTGTTACAGTTAGTGTTACAGTTAGTGTTAATGTTAGTTAGTGTTACAGCTAGTGTTAGTGTTAGTTAGTGTTACAGCTAGTGTTAGTGTTAGTTAGTGTTACAGCTAGTGTTAGTGTTACAGTTAGTGTTACAGTTAGTGTTAGTGTTAGTTAGTGTTACAGCTAGTGTTAGTGTTAGTTAGTGTTACATGTACTTCAGACAGAACACCGCTAGTGTCAGGCTGTTCGCTGTGGTAGTTAATGTTACAGCTAAAGTCATCTTGAAAACAGTGTAGAAAATTTCGCTAAAAAACTTTGGAAACCAAATTGATTAGAAAGAGAATGTTACAAAGTTACCAATTAATCCAGTAGTAAGCACAATCGCGTAAAGGATGATGAAAAATATTTCCAGAGACTGGATAGAACGCTGAAACAATTATAATAGAAAGCTGTTCATTTTATGAAGGTATTATATATAGGGACCATTTGCTTTTTTAAGAACACTAATTTCTGTAATCGAGCATTTCCTGGTCTGAAATGTTACACAACCCATTAAATCACTCCTAAACTCATAAACAACTCACCTGCTATTTAATAGAATTAGAAACAACTAACCTTGTCCTTGATATCGGGCCAGTATCTAGAATCAGCAAGGTTCCAGCACCCTTCTCCTTCATTACTTGTTGAGTTACCGTACAGTACGCACTCCTCCATCTAACGGAACAGAGGTTTTAGGTTTTACTCAAAGATTGTAACTCGGTTACAGTTTATGTACCGCAAAATTAAAGTTAATTTGAGTTCGTGATTTCCGAAAACACGGTCAGTTAATTGGGAAATTACTGAATTATAAATCTAACTAATCATCTAATTATTTTAATTCAGGCGAGGAAATCACAATCCGTCACAAGCATTTAAACGCCATCAGAACAATTCCTGTCAACCAACCCTATTAGAGTATTAGTATCAACGATCAATTAAACTAACTTTTGAGAAAACGTCTCAGTGGGTTTTGTATCTGCGTGGTCTGTAGAAACGCGTGTCTACTGGATGTAGTTTAGGGGGTGGTGTAGTCAACACCTGGTCTCCAATTATGTCCGTGTAAGCGTGTACAAGGGTGGTTCAGTAGTGGTGAAGGTGCTCGGTATAACCTCTAAGTACCAGTCTGATATTCCTTGTTCTGCTTCTAAATGCGCTATTCCTAAGCAAGGTTATATATTCATAAGCTATGCATTGATACTAACTTTTCATTCAAAGTAGCAAAGTGAACAACAAACTTCCTTTGAGTGTCGGTGTAGTATCAAAAACTAGGGTAGAACCGAAATAGGGCTTATAAAAATAACTCACGTTGATACAGCGTGACAGTAAAATCAAAGTAAGAAAGTACGCAAAGCACTGATGATGTGACCTTTAAGTTTAAATATAGGTGATAAACCAAAAATATTTAGTTTCTCGGATTTACAAATTTTGGATATCATTGTGTAGATATAGCTATGCTGATCTCGGAATACACGGCCATAACTCTTGGAAACTTTGGATTGTTGAGATATCACGTTTTAACAACAGCCCTGCAACAAAATAATAAATAATAATTAAGTTAATTATTAAAATTAATAGATCTTTTGAGAAACTAGAATACTAACTACTCCTAGAAGTGTCTAGTGGGCACTACAACGACTTGCTATGTGTTAAGTCATAAGTGCTCTGGTGGCAAAACATCATCCAACCAGACACCTATACAGTATACAGGGTGTTCCAAAAGTCTTGCAAGGATGTACTTTTTGAATAACAACTTTAGACAAACGGATAAAACGTTATTCAAAAAGTGAATCCTTGCAAGACTTTAGAAACACCCTGTAAATAAACATTGAATAAAGAAATAACATTCAACATAATCTATTAACGTGATCCTTAAGGGAACGTTAAAAGCTGCAAAAACAAGGCTAAGTTTTAGATTTCAAGAATGAGCTGTAACTGTCAACTACATAATATAAAGAGGAAACTTGACACCAATTGATTAAGTGATAATTTGAAATGACTAAGAGTAAATGAATGCCCAGCTAGGTTCGCTATAAAACAAAACCAAGGTATCAACGAGACGACAGGACCGCGGTACAGGTGTGCCTACTACAGTGCCATACCGCGTTATACCACAGATGAAAGTTAAGTCTATAACTTGACTACATTCCTTTGTTCGTCGGGGTGTATATACTGTAGAATTATACAGCTACATTGCTAGTATATAGCAAGGTATAGCAAGGTATAGCAAGGTATAGCAAGGTATAGCAAGGTATAGCAAGGTATAGCAAGGTATAGCTGGGTAGCCACGTGAACAGTCCACAGGTTATTGAATAAGGGATGAGACATTATAGCTCACACATAATTGATGAGACTTATATAACATCAGAGAATATGACATGAACTCTCATTAATAAAACAGTTGAGGAAATGAATATATTTTGTTGGAGACCCACTACCCACACTAGGTAACTATTAAGTATGGACTTGTACTTAAAACCAACAAGAGAAACATACAGGTAACATTATGCAGGGTGAACCTAACAATGACTTGTATATAACAACTAGGACTGTGTGTAGTTTAGGTACAACAACACAAGATACAAGGGCAGGTCTCTCCCGAACGTTGGGATGGCCTGAGGTGCTTATCTCCTTTCTAGTAACCCTAAGCCGAGGCACTATACTAGTATACTAGCTGTAGGGGGGTTAGTCCTAGTTCCTACAAGCCAGAGGGTGTGTATCACCAGCCGAAGCTTGTATGTAATTATAACAACTAGGACTCTGTGTAGTTTAGGTGCACTTGTTATTAAAACCATGGTGCAACAGCACAACATCGTTACAAGACCAATATATACGATCCACTAAATCTGAACTTTATATACTCTGTTCTCTATGACTACTCTATTAAAACCGGTACTTGTTCCGGAATGAAACATATATTCAATATTATCTGTGTTTCGCCTGTATTTCTATTGTTATAAAATCTCCATTAACCAACATTTCTGGGGTAACCGAGTTGGCGCATCGAAATTACTAGAGTAAGACTAACTACTAAGTTAGTATAAATGATGAGTATACTAATGCACTGTGAGCGCAAATTCGCAACATTTGTAACAAAGAGCAGCGAGGAATACATTGAGCACAATAAAATGGCATATACTTATAGCCGACCATCCAGTGTGTGGGGGAACTAAAGAGGGCTACAAGAATTATAACATGATAGGTTACGCACTATAATTGTAGAATGTAGGGAATGCCTTTCTACTTGTCTACATTCCTAGAGGGCAGTGAACCAGGTTATGACATACCTAAAATTAACTTGTCAACAAAATAACGTCACTTCTATGGTAGTGTGGTTTATATGTTATCCTGATTCCTGGGGAACTTACTTACGTTTATTTACTTATCGGGTAATTTGTGATACGTTTTTCCGGATCAGAGAGAGATCTGATACCTTGTATTCTTTTCAATTATTCTTAAGCTTTAGATTTTGATTATATTTATTTGTAGCTAAGGATGTAACCGAATATATAACGATGTGAATATTGAGAATTTAAAGCTGTCTAGTCACACCAACTATAAATTAAATTAAGAATAATGACATATCCATCATCACCATCAAGGGTATGTGTATTAAGGGTATTGGGCATACATTAGTAAATATAGCTAATTATTGGTAAGTAACGTTAAATTTAGGACCTGCTGGTAATATATTGCACTATACATATTGAAATACTTAAGACTTGAAAATAAGTTAATATTCTGTGTTGTGGAGGATACACTATTCTGGTGAGCCAGTGGCACTACACTGTAGGATAAGAGACAAGATCAAATATCCTACATCCCTAGGATGAGTCTAGATACATGTTTTGAACTATTAGTGGGGAACGATGATATCAATAATTCAAAGTTAAATTTGAGCACAATGTTTAACTAAATATTGAAATACTTAAGACTTGATAGTTAATAATCAGTTTACACTTCAATTGTGTTGTGGAGGATACATCTCAACACGTGACCAGTCGGGTGACCAGTCAGTGAGCAGTTGCAGTGACCAGTCAGTGACCAGTCAGTGACCAGTCAGTGAGCAGTTGCAGTGACCAGTCAGTGACCAGTTTTTGACCAGTCAGTGACCAGTTTGTGACCAGTCAGTGACCAGTTTTTGACCAGTCAGTGACCGGTCAGTGACTAGTCAGTGACCAGTCAGTGACCAGTCAGTGATCAGACAGTGACCAGTCAGTGACCAGTCAGTGACCTGCCATTATAAGTGTAATGAGAGACAGGATCAAATGTAGGATGATACTTTTTCTGATAACAATCAGTGGATATCATTTTATGGAAAGCTGGAGATCATACATACTAAATACTAATAGAAAAAACAGTGCAGGAAATTTGGCAAACAATTTAACAAAGCTATCGGAGCACAAAGGAAATGCCAAATGGTCAACCAGCTCATAATGATCAGCTAGAGCATACATTCATGATCTGTCCTTACTCACATAATGACATTATAACTGCGTATCATTATGGCATTATAACCATGTCAGCTCTCACAACTGAGGAGGAACTAGTTGCAGCCAGCTGTGTGAATATTGAATAATAGATGTAATTATGATTATCAAGTTAGAATTATTTAGCATATGTGGAGAATGGAGATGTTAGTGAGTCGATATTTAAAGTTAAATCATATCAGATATTCCTGCAGCGTGGTCATATGCCTATATATTATAGTTTACGTTTTAATTATTCCAATTATATAATTAATACATAATGAATCATTGTATTATGCTTTGTTGAATAATTAATTATATTTGTTCTAATTAGACACAGCTGGGGACTAGTGAGCAGCAAGGTTGTGACTACAGCGCGTGCACAATGTCAAACAATATGTGATTACATTATGTGATCATTAATTTAACAAGTGAAACTAACAAGTTTCTTGGGAATCGTACTGTCCCGTGCATATTGCATGATGTTTTCAAATATTCACTGCGAAGAGTGAGAAAAAAATCGTGAAGAAATCTCGTATGTAAGTGAAAAGTTTCAAACATTTTCTGTTGTAAGTTTAAGAATTTGTCAAGCTTATCTGTAAAAGATCAAATTATATTATCACACTAAAACAAATACAACGAGTTACAACTTCTATCAGGTCTGCTAAACGAGTATACAACACAGTGTATAAAGCAAGCAACACATTAGAACCAGGGCAGAACTTCAGACTACAACATAAAGCACTTAAAGTACTTCCAGATAATTAGTGAGGTCACTGTTGTAGTGTGCTGTGTATCAACACAATTACAGCTCTAAATTTAAGTACCACGTGACATGACACGTGACAGTAAAATCATGGGTTCATGGAAGAGACTAGCAGTTGATGGGTCGTACCTAATCTTTATCTTTCCTCAATTTTTAGTCCATATTCTACTATAAAAAGTGAGCACTTAGTTATAATGAGATAAACTGATCGTGAAAGCGGGGATTTGGGCATTTTCTTTCCATTTTCTTAGATTTATCGTCTCACGGCTCTCTTCTCCGAGACTCCCGGCTCTCTTCTCCGAGACTTACACGAAGATGAACTGCTGAAGTAATGTCGAGACCAACGGAAAATAAAAATTGATGCAAAACAATCGTAATTATAAATTACAATCAGGTGTGATATTTGGTTATTTTCTCTAATTTCTACAACGTTAATCTAAAAGGAGGGCGAAGCAATGTTGCTAATTGAAATACAATTGTGAAACAGTTGCAAAGAAATTCCTGGGCAGCCTTCAAAGAACATTCCCAACATACAGCGTGAACAGTATCTATAGGTTATATTATATAGTATGTGAACGGACCTTTCTAACTTTTTCTTTCGAAGAAGTTTTAACTCAAACACTTTTATTGATAGACTAATGTGGACGAATACGGCTCTGTGTATTATATTAAACAATTCAGTCTACATTATAATTATATAGAGACTAGAAAGCCCGTGGTCACAGGGAGGAAGCTAATAGTATTCGTTGGTAGTCAGTTTTCATAGCATCAACAAATATCCGTCACAACCGAAGATACAGCCAATTAAAATGTAGCTCGCACTGAACACAACGTAATTACCACAAAACCGATCAAAATGTCGCCCGCAAATCTTTGCACGTGCACGTGCGTGTAACAACCCTCGTTACCATGGTTACTATGCAACTTCTATTTCTCATCTGATTTGCACGTGGGCGGTCGTGCAAATAGAATTCTTTAAATAATAATATAGATGTTGTGGCTGGACGACCAATCTTAAAATCTATCTACGTATTTATTTAATTCAAACAAGTGAAACACACCTTCAGTTGAAAACTTTTATGGGGAACCAAGCAACAACTTAATATTATTCACTATAAAAGTATAAAGCTATAAGTACTACGTATTTATAAGCAGTATGTATGACTGTAACATCGTCCGAGTCCCAGCTAATATAAAACATATGTTATGCTATATTGCTATAGCTCTATAGGCAATAGAGCGCAGTTATGGTATGTAGTATCATAAAGCACGTGCTATAATGGGTAGCACATGCTATAATAATGGGTAGATTATAAGTTAAGATAATATTTCCAGGTGGGTATGTAGTATTACACGTGTAATAGTATGTACAGGTGGTGAGCGTAGTGATATTAAGCAACACCGGCTTGGAAGTGTTGTAACTTGGGTAGATCTGAGAAATGAATAGAGCTCCTTCCACGCAGCCAAGTTTGTAAGTATAGATTATATTTCGTGGCTGATTAAAGAAATGCTGACTTGAATTCAAGTAAAGGCACGAATCGAGGAATGAAAAACAGCTGAAAACCATTTTATGATCTGGACATCTTGATAATGTAAAGCTTCATACAAAATAGTAAGACCATTCTGCAAATTATTATGTGAATGATGGAAGGAAATAATACGTATATTTATAAAATTTCCGCTTCCGCAGTATGGTCACTGATCAATACCCTTTGAAATGTAAAGTTAAAATAGGGAGCATAGCAAAGGTAGCTTAAACGCAAGTTAAACAGAGAATGACAACTTTAACACACACCTCACACAATAAAAGTATACTAAGCTATTTGTATAGTATTATAGTGTGACCGTTGTGCACTGAGAACAACGAACAATGTGCCTATTTAACAGGCAAACAGCGCTAATAATTATTATAAAGGAGTATCATGACGTGTGGTGCACAGTCCGGCCTTTGTGCATTCGACGTTATATTTACCGATCAGGATTGTAACTGTACATAGTTTTTTGCGCACTCAATAACGGTAGATGATCAGAAATACTGTATTAACAGTGATGAGTGAGATCTGATCCTCTCTGATGGGGTGGTCACATGGTGTGATGGCCCTGTTAAAGCTGAACGAATCGCAAAGTATTACGTAGGTGACAATAGCATCAAATCATGACAATCAAATAATATAAATCTTATTGTGATCGAATAGTATCATATTCAGTAGAATAGCTTAAGGTAGTGGTGAACATCAAATATTGCAGAAAATATCTTTTCTATCGTACGAAGACTAACCACCAGGAAGATGCATTGCCTCAGCTGACTTATAGACTCAAGCGATCTGGTTTGACTCCAATATAACAAGCCGGTCAGTCAAATAAACAGTTTTACGGTTCCTGGTTCTCCCTTGAATATATCCAATAACTGAGAAGGGGAAGGCAGCCCTTTACTCCTTTATAGATATGTCACATTCTTGTCTGATGACTCTAGTTGGAGTAATAAGACCGATAATTGGTGTAATGGAAGGAGTTGTGCAGTTAACCACTCCAGACATTACGCACAAACTTGGTGAAAATAAAGATTAGAGGATAAAGAAAGCGGCTGACAGTAACAAAGTACCTGTAACCAACAGCTGACGTCATAGTGTTCATTCTTAACTTATATTGGACGAGTGGGTATAATTCAACATATTCTACCATTGGGCTTATATTAAGTGGGTCATGTTAACCAACGTTTGGTCAAATCCACTATGACGTCATGGTGGATATGACCAAACGCAGATTTAGAGAACTCTACGGAAATTATAGAGACCGGAAATTAGAGAGAAAAGTGGGTTTCACCAACTTCTTCTGCAGATATTCAATCATCAATGATAACAAAATGGTGAAATCAGCTCACTGTTGGCTAGTGGCGTAACGAAGGGCCCCGTAAAATAAGGAACATTTCTCAACAGCCCATATTATTAATTACTAGCGAGCATCGTCACAATAACTCCCAAATCTCATGTTATTGTACATGTGAATAATTTTGGCTTAACAAATGACAATCCTCATGAGGGACCGGGTGTGTTACTGAGGGCCGTGCAGAGTTAGCTGTTCATGCCCATTGTCTGAAGTTTTTATCAACACGTTATCCTGCACCTAGTGTACATTTCAGAGATATGTGTGAAATGGCGTGCAGTGTACAGTGTACACAGTGATCAGTGTACCTTATAGTGCGGTTAGCGGTACCTGCAGCTACAATTGTTCTCATACACAATTGTTTGTGTATGAGAACAATAATAGAGTAGCTGGGCAGTGGGCTCTAATCGGTTAATAAGGGGACCGCGAAAGAGTGCTGCAGTTAGTCATAATCGCAGCAACAACAATTGCTCAACAACAAGTTC